CTCGGGCCTTTGCACAGGGAGCCCCCAAACTGGATCTGCCACCTACAAAACCTGGCTCTGCCGTGGCCAGGGGGGTCGGCACGGGGTCCGTCCTGTCTCACGATGGCTACCCACAGCGCTGAGGGGTAGAAGGTCCAAGCCACGCCTGTGTCCAGGCCGTCATCTGCCAAGCTGGTCACTCCCTCTCAGAGCTGTGATCTTGGCTCATTTACTCACCCTCCCTGGGTGTCCGTGCCGCTTGGACTGTGGGTGGTGACAGCAGTGCCCGCTCATGGGCAGCCCTGAGGGTGGACGGAGGTCTCCCCCTGGCATAGTGCGTGGCACAGGGGTGGCCTGGTGCTGGTGGCTGGCCTCACAGCTGTGGCCTGTGTACACAGAGGGTCCCGTGACCCTGCTCCCAGGGCCTTCTAACCCTGGCTGTATGTATTGTGCACACATGGCCTTGGTGGGGTACACATGTGTGTGCAAGTGAGCATGTGCAGTGAGTCTGTGTGCACAGGGGTCACATGAGAGTGTGTGTACGTGCATGCCCAGGGGGTGACGTCAGGGCCACACGCTCCAGAGTGTGTGATCGGGAGCTTGTAAGAGTAGATGACATCTGAGTTAATAGGAAAAAGGTGGCCGAGGGAAGACCTGGAGAAAGGGATGCCGGCTGAGGGGCTGGCAGGTGCAAAGGCCCCGAGGCCTGGTGGAGGGTCCTGCCATGCTCCGGCAGAGTCGCACATCTCAAGGCCCTTTCCCTACACCGTGTGGCGATGCCCACTGAGTGGGTCTGGGCAGGACCAGCAAGGCAAGACCAGAAGCTCGCCCTACCTAGATTGGGGCACTCGGGCTGGGGTGCCAGGACGGGGCCCCTGCACTCCCAGAGTGGCCTGGGAAGTTGGACCTGAAAGCATCAGGGTCCTGTCCCCTGGCTGTAGTGGACTGGGCAGGGCCAGCCTGAACGTCAAGGCTCTGCTCCCTCCAGGCACTGTTGACATGCCCCAGGCCAGCGCCTTCCCTCCTGCTCATCCCCTGGCCCTTCCAGTCCTGGGCAGGCCAGCTGGACCCTGAAGCAGCCCTGTCCCCTGGTCAGGCCCGTGGGCCCTCCTGTGAGCGGCAGGAAGGACTGGCACACTTTGCCCGTCCCCTGCGGGAGGGAGGCGCTCTCCCGAGGCCAGTCTCAGCCGCGGTTTTCACAGATGCTTTAACAGAGCCCAGGGCTGATCAACGGGCAGCGTGGGGTCCCCAGCCAGGGCCCCAGGGCGCCCCAGGAAGGCCTGTGGGAAGGAGCAGAGAGGGGCTGGAGGTGAGGCTGGGCAGGCTGGGGGGCTCCACTGGCCCACGCTCCTGCCCTGGGGGTCCTGGTCCAGCTGGGGAGTGGACACTGGTCCCATAAGTCAGTGGAAAATTGTGGCCAAGGCTGGGGTAGAGCTGGAGAGGCCGTGGGAGCTTGGGGGATGACCAGCACTGAGGTGGCCGTGGCCCTGCTCTCGACCCTGGGCAGGAGGGAGGTGGCCCCCATGCCTCGTGATCCCTGTTGGTGGGCACTGTCACGAGGATGTCCAGGTGGAGAAAAGCCGTAGAAGGGCCAGGTAGGAAGTGCGTGTTTCCCTGGGTGTATTTAAAAAGCCCTGGTCACGCCGGGGTCTGCAGTTCCACCAACATGTCAAGACGGCCCTCACTTCCGGGACTCCTGGCCCTCGACACTCCTGGCCCCGTGTTGTCTTGTCCCTGGTCCTGTTGGCTTGTCCTCCTGTCCTGCTGGCGTGCAGTGTCTGCTGGGCAGGGCTCGCTGCCCGTCACGGCAGAGGGAAGGGGTTCCACACCCACTTCCAGAGGCTTCTCAGCAGGCGGTGGGCCGTGGGCGGTGGGTTAGCGGCTGGGCAGGACCCTCCACCAGAGGCCTCAGCCGCTGTCCGGCAACCTGAGAAGACCTTCCCCGAGTCCACCAAGGAGGACGGGGAAGGGGCGGAAGCCCTTGGCCCAGGTAGGGCTGGGAAGGTGACCCAGCCAGGCCAGGTGGGGCCAGACCACCTGGGAGCAAAGCCTCCGTGAAGCCCGTCACCTGGTCACACTCCTCCCAAGGGGACCCTGTGAGCAGCCAGTGCTTCAGCACGGTCAGGGTTGGGGGTGGCCCCAGTACTGGCCGGGCCGTTCAGGTGCAGGTGCAGGGTCCTCCAGGGCAGGGAGCATGTTGGTCAACTGGTCCAGTGTCCAGGGAGAGGGAGGGTCAGGGTCACAGGGCGTGGCTGACCCCCAAGCCTGAGAACCGGGTCTGTCTGACTGTGGACCCCGTCAGGTGTGTGCCAGGTGGGGCTGGGGCATGTCCAGCTCCCTGGACACGGCAGAGCCTGGACGCCACATGGGCACACAGGCCCGCCTCGGGCACCTTCCCAGCCTTCCTCCCCCCCAGCAAGCAGAGTCGTGGCTGGGCAGGTCTCATGCACAGGACGGCTGACCAGGCCTCTGGCCCAGCATCCCCAGCACCCGTGGACGCCCAGCCCCACTTCCCTCCGTCCCCCCCTCCCTTCCTTCTCCTCAGAAGGCCCTGTGAACCCAGCAGGACGGGCCACTGCTTCCCGCCCCTCATTGTCACCAGCCCACCCTCGGTCCCAGTCTCCCGAAGCCCCGCCACCGTGTGTCCTGACCTGGGAAGGTGGCAGCCCACCAGGCGCTCCTGAGGGACTCCTGGGCACCAGGTCCTCAGGGAGGTCAGCTGGTGCCCGCCGCCCTCCTCGGAGCGGAGCGTCTCGCTGGGGAAGGAAGCTGTCTCCCTGTGCCGGCCGCCCTCTGGGTCGGACAAGCTGTGTGGGCTGGAGCTGGACCAGGGTCGGGTCAAGGTCCCTTTCTCCCAGCATCTGGGGGGTCAGGCTCGAGGCTGGGCCATGGGGCAAGTGGACTCGGACATCTCCCCCGGGCCCTCCACTTGGGGTAGCTCCAGGACAGCCAGGCTCCTTCCCCCCAGCCCTGGGCTGTAAGCTCTTTGCATGCCTGCCGCTGGCCGCTGTGCGATGACCACATGGAAAAGCAATCCAGGAAGAAGGAACAGCAGCCACAAGTCCTCTGAGCAGGATCAGGTGCTACCTCAGCCTCCCTCTCGCAGGAGGGGGACAAGGCCAGTCCCTGTGCGGGAAGCAGTGGTGTCGAGTTGTGTCCCTGCTCGGGGGACTGGGCACTCACCGCTGGACACACATCCTGGGTCTGCAGTGGCTGTCACAGGGGAGGCTCCTACCTCAGTGGAACCCGGCTTCATTTGGCACTTTGCACGGTGCCAGGCTCCCGTTCATTCCTGGCTGGACAGGAGTCTGTCCCCAAGGGGCACCTTCTCCCCTGAGCCAGAGTCATGAAGGGCCCCACTGTGCCAGCCCTGAGGGGCCTCCACGTGTGCTCACAGAGTGTCCTTAGCAGCGGTGGCCCAGGGACACGGGAGACTGTACCTGAGAGCACAGGCAGGGCCTTGCAGCTGCCTGGACAGGTTCGGGGGCCAGGAGCTGGGTGGTCAGAGGGGCGTGGCCAGCAGGAGCTCAGGCCCCATCTGTTTCTAGGGG